ATTTCAGAGAATAAAACTATGAATCACTAAGTAAAACAATATATCAGTACAGAAACAATAAAACATTACAATATCTAAAACAACTAATAATAAGTCCAACATTTTGTTGGTCACTTCAAACTACATGAGGAACCCAGCACAGTCAAAGGAAATGGCTACAGGTAGTTTTCACCTATTTATCCACTTGTGCTCTACTTGGTTATTCTTCTGTCTGGAGTGGCTTTGCTACAATCTGGCCCATGACGTCCCAGGCACTATGAAACACTGGGAGGGAGCATGGCTTGATTTATGCAGGGGACAGTGGATCTGAAGTGGTGATTTTCTGTTTTCCTTTAAAAACATTGTCTACCCTGCTAGGCCTTTCCCAGCATGTTGTGAGGTGATTCCAAAATTCCAAAAATTAAAAAAAATAAATAAATAAAAATCTGAAACTGAAACTGAGATTTCTCTTTAATGTTCAGAAAAAAAAATGTTGCTCAGTAATTATCTCATCCTGCCAATGGACAGCACAACCTTCATGCACACTACTTATAATTTCACCAAACACTGACTCCTGATGTACTGCAATAAAACCTGATCATGTGGAAGCAACTGTGAACAGTTTTGTTCCTGCAAAAACCACAAGATGGAGACAAAGTTGATATTTTCTCAACAGAATCAGAATTGTTTTTATTGGCCAAGCATATGCTCAAACACATACAAGGAATTTGTTTCCGGTAGATGGTGTCTCTACTGGATCACAAATATATGTAAATGACTCAATGCACACACACACACACACACACATATATAGAGAACTGCACACCCAGTTCTCTGTCTGTCTGACGATCTGACCAGTGTGAGATTTGGAGACACAAAGCAGCAGCTTCCCAACAATCCAGAGAGAAACACTCAGTATTTTAATGTTTTTGGCTCTGATGTTTTCAGCTCAGGGAAACGTGGCTGGGATGTAGAGGTGGGAGACCATCCTCGCTGGAATATTGGTTTGACTAAAGAGCCATTTAACAGGAAGGGAGAGCATTCTGCTTCACCTGAATTTGGAGTCTGGTGTTTTCTCTATATGGCAGTGGAAAATGCTGTAATTGTTTTGGTCAAGCTATGACAGTGAAGAAGAGTCTCCAAAGGATAAGAATCCAGCTGGAGAGGTGTCCTTCTATGATGTTGATGGCATGGCTCACATATACACCTACAAAGACACTATCACTGAGAAACTCTTTCCATATTTGCATATTGGAGAGCCTGGAAGCATAAAAGTCTGTTAGACTGATATTTCCCCCATAGTGAGAAAGATTTTTGTAGTAGTCAGTGTATCATGCTTCTGTGTACTGTATTCACTCATGACAAGTGTACTTAACTGTATGTTTATACACTACATGGACTGCATTAAACACATTTAAGATGACTGTATGGAGATGAGTTACATTTGTGACTTTTTCATATTGAAAATAGTCTGTGACTGATTAGATTTTCTTTCATCCCACAAAGAAATGATTCGTTGCTTTGATTGCTTTTACCCAAAATACTTGAGAAATTAGATATATTTTTGTTTTTTAAAAAAAAATATGTTAATGACAATGATAATAACTGTAAACAAAAGGAATCTTTCTGTTTTGAAATGTACTGAATGTATTTTGATGAGATTTATCACCAGTAGGGGGCTGTCTATGGGGAAATGGTCAGCCAACAAACTGATCTTAGGTTGATAAGTTGGAACAGCACATATCAGATGCTGTCATGGCTACATGATGAGAAAGAACCAGTCTGGGTATCTCTTGCGTCTCTTCCAACAGATTTAACGTCACTTACGGCTGATGAATGTGACATCGTAAGGAAGGATGCGGTAACATTAATTTAAAAAATGACCTTTGTTTGCTCGTTATTGAGCTTTTACAGCGTGGCAGGAATTATTTTTTAAATAAATACAATTTCTTCCACCTTTGGCTCATTAAATTTTTTTAAGTGAAAGTCCAATTTATTTTATACTTATAGAACTGTATCTTATTTTGGAAAAAATAGACGGAAGTTTTACTTTCTCAGTGATGGTGTGATGTAAACAACGACCACTACTTCCGGTTATGGCCGCAGGTATGGTTTTTCCTGATTTCTAAAGCGGTTTGCGGGAAATTAAATAGATTTTTTGCACACTCTGTTTATTTCATATCACTAATTTTAGAACTAGTATCAGTTTCACGGATATTTTTATGGTTTTTGATGCTGAGCGCGCTAACAGCTAACAGCTAGTTAAAAAAACTGACTTGATAGCACATTGTTAAGCTAGTTACGTTTTTCTCGTTTCGACTGTATTTGCAGCAGTTTAAACGCAACTGTCCATTTCTCGCTGCAAACATCAATGCCCAGTAAGTATTTCTTTTTTAAAAATATCATTCAGAGACTGATATGTTATTTGGTGCGGTGCAGCTTCAAGGGTCGGTGACCCACTCAGCTAAAACACATTTTGATGCTAAGCTGACCTGTTTTTCGTAAAGCGAAAGGCTGATTTCAGTTACTACATTTTCCCTTCTTGCATGTTCTCACGTGTGCGTTTTCCAAAATGTTTTGGTATTGATTCATTATTTTATGATTCTTCTATTGTCTTCTGCCCGTTTTCAGCTTTGAAAACCTGAATTAAAAATTCAAAACACATCACAGAAAAGTAATGAAATTCTGGTATTATAATGTTCTATTTCTGTTAGGACCTCTACTCAAGGAAGTAAAGGAGACTTTCAAGCAGTGAACTTTGATGGTGATGGATAACCCGACAGCAAATAAGAGCCACATTCCCTGTCCGTCTTGGATGGCCCAGAATGGCTGGTCAGCAGCTTCATCTCAGAACCCGCTCGTCAGCCTTCTCCCCACCTCCTATGAGCACATGCAGGCATCTCATCAGAGTTGTACTAACAATTTGAACACTGTATCTTCCAGAAACAACCCTCATGCTGACATGTATAAAACCTCTCACATTGGCACCATTCCATCATCCAGCTCGCTGTTTGCTACAGATATCCCAAATCTCTCTCAAGGTATTTCTTTTAATCAGCAAAGCTCTAACCTTTCATCGATCATGGTATCAGCGAACCAAGGAAAAAATGTTACTATACCAGCTCTTCGACAGTCAAACCAAGGACTTCAGCTTTGTGGGCCCCAGGATTTATCTGTTCTCTCATCCCACAATGCCTTCAAAACATTTCAAAATCCAATATCCAGTCAGGGTTTGTCAAGTGGGATTCAAGGTCTACCCCCCCGCCTGCCATCATGCAGACAACATCAAGCTGCTTTTGACGGAGAAAATGTGGAGTCCGCTCATGGTGCAGGAAACACTCAAAGCTATACCTCATCCACCTCTCAGGAGCAGCGTGAGTGGTTGCCTTCATCACATTGCAGAGGTAAGCTGTAGCTGTATTACATGCATGTTTCAATGTATTTTTTCATATCATATTAATGTAGGTACGCATGCAAGGTTGGATTTAAACTCGGTCCAAAGCAGTGTTTAGTATTTTAGTTGGTGCATTAGTTAAGCGGCTTACATAAATGCAAATAGTTGATTAAGTGTTAGGGTTTTGAGGGGTGTTGAATCATATTCTTGCTATCACAGGACAAGAGAACAACACTGTATGACAAAGCTAACAAATTAAATTCTTGAATATCTTATATTTAAGGAAAGCACTTGTTTTACTTGGTTTGTTTTGTTTCTTTTTTGTTTTTGTTTTTTGGAAGTGTAAATGTTTTTAAAGTCTTTTAGCTCTTCCTCACACAGTCTTTAAAAATGTAGCCAAAATTTAAATTTAGTTACGTTAGACTGATCTAATTTGTCTGTTGTGGATTGTTATACTTAAAATGTAAACTAAAAAGTTGACCTTGTTTCGCCTGTCTAAACAAGTGTTTGCAGAACTGTTTAACACTTTGTGTGTTTGTTTTTAACTTTACTGTCTTCTCTTCAGGAGCTGTGAATGACCCCGTCCCAAAAGAAGCTGTTCAAAACAAAAACATAAATAGATCTACTACGGTGAGGAAAATAACAGCAAATGCTGTTTGATGGATGATTTGAAGATATTTGCATTTTTCCACACCTTTTTGCTTTTACAGAGGTTTACATTTTAAGTCCCTTTTAACTGTAGCACTGCAATAAAGGCAAAATCTTCCCTTTTAACCAACATCATGTTAAAGAGCCTTGGAGATTTTAGATGATTACTACTATATTATATTTTGTCCTGTAAAGGTTTTATTATGTCTGCTTTCAGGCCAGCAGTGAAAAGCGGCGTTCAGATGTTTTACAGCAGCGCGCTGAGCTGCTTAAACAACTGGCAGAGATGGATAAACTTGTAAGTGTGCAAGGGCATTTTTTTTAAATAAAGAAGGTAATTGATGCTTTTAAATAGTTCCCAACAAACATAGTTGAAACCCTGATAGCACATCTCTGGTCAAAATTGTGTGCAGTACAACAACAAAAGCAGAACTGTGAAGTGGTGGACACACCGATTCATTTGTTAACTAAGTAGTCATGAACAGATGGGAACACGTTTTCTCCATGTACAATAAGTAGAATTACGAGAGTCTGTTATTGCTATTTGTGTTAACATACATCAATTTTGTCTCATATGTTGCAATATGAACTTAAGTTAGTTCCCCCTGCCCATAATGTCGGCGTCTCCCAGACTGAAAGACGTGGTGTTTAATTTTCTTTCTTGCTAGAAAGTGTAATGATGAATTTGATGTTTTCTCAAAGTCAAAATGTTTCCTGGGTTGTTATCTAGTATTAATACTTTAAAATTATTAAAGAAAATTCTACACAGTTGCTCCCTGCTTACTTCACTTTCCTCCTGTTAAGCTAAAAGCATTGCCATCAGATAACAGCAGCGATGGGCAGTCGTCAGATGATGAGCCACCTCAGTGTGAACAGACTGCTGCAAATTCAAAGGTAACTGCACAATAAATTATTGCCTGAACATTCTTTGGGCTTTTCATATGCTGTGTGATTGTCAAGGTTGTTATCACATCATATCACCTTTTAATTATTTCTATTACAGTCGTGTAATTCAGCAAATGGTTCTTCACCTTCATACTATGACGAGGAAAATGATGCTTGTGATACGCCAGAGTCACCTGCAGAATCGCTGGTATTTACCTGCATTTTTTACTTTGCTTATGATATTAAATTTTGCATGCTGATTACAGCATGTTGGATTTTATTATTGTATTACATTATGAATTGTAAATTATCATTAATAATAAAAAGTGACCATAACCCCGTGTTTTGTGGAAACCGAAAAGGACTTTTTTTGAAGGGAAAAATGTTAGAGGTTTTTAATTTGTTTATCTTTGTTTTTCGTTGTTGTTTTTGTTTAATCTTAAGTCAAGGAAAAAAAGATTTCTTTTATTTCTTTCAGAAAAAGGAAGTTGTTTCAGACATGTCAGGGGAGGACGATGATCAGGATTACTCACCAGGGAGTGATGAAGAGTTCAAAGAAGGTTCTTCAGATGAATCCAGTCATAGCGATCCAGAGTCCCCCGTGAGTGAAGAACCGCACCAAGAAGAGCAGAACTCAAAATCAGAAAATTCTTCAGGAAAGGATAAAGGAGTCACTCCTGTAAAAAGGAAACCTATGATTAGTCAGGCAGAAGCGTCACAAACGCCAGTGTTGCCAGCTGTAAAACGACCAAATTCAAAAGCTCGATTTTATGACAAGAAGAATTACTGCTTGTTTTGCTCCAAGCCGGTGTTAAAACTGTCACGGCATTTTGAGTCAATTCACAGTGACAAACCAGAGGTTGCAGCTGCATTTCAGTATCCCAAACACTCCAAAGAAAGACAAAATATATGGAAAAAATTAACAAATGAAGGAAACTTTGCACATAATAAAAATGTTTTGAAAACAGGAGAGGGAACTCTTGTCGTACGACAAAGACCGAAAGTGCTTGGACAGGCCCGTGACTTTCTTCCTTGTCTTCACTGTCATGGTCTTTTTGTGAAGAGAAACCTGTTCAAACACATGAGGACGTGCCCAGCGAAAAGCAAGATTGAAAAGGATTCAGGTATTGGAAAAAAGCGCATTGCATCAATGTGTGTGCTGGCAACTGTGGACTGTGAAGACCGTGGCATAAGTGATGTCGCTAGGAGCATTCTGAATGAAATGATATACGATGATGTGACGCGAGCTGTCATGGATGACAGGATTCTCTTGCAGTTTGGGGAATACATGTACAATCATTATGGCCGTGATGCGAAAAAGCACCCATATATAAGACAAAACCTTCGTCAGATAGCAAGACTTGTGGTTGAGGCTCAAAAAACGACCCCAATGAAGAAGCTGGAGGACTTCTTTCACCCTTCAAACTTCCAGCGTGTGGTGTCTGCAGTGAACGTCCTGGCAGGCTATGATTCAGAAACCAAAATTTACGCCGCTCCTTCCGTTGCAATCAAGCTTGGTCACAGCCTGCAGAAGACCTGCAGTATTGTTAAGGATAACGCGGTAAAGTCTGGTGATACAAAACAGGCAGAGGCTGCTAAAAACTTCCTCTCTGTGTACCAAAAGAAGTGGACTAAGCTTGTTTCTTCGGCCGCATTAAGAAGTCTCAGAGAAATTAAATCAAAACGAGCAAAGCAGATACCACTTGTTCAAGATATGAAGCGCTTGCATTTCCACTTGGAGAAGGTTCATACTACAGCTGAGAAGAATCTACGAGACAGTCTTTCTACAGAAAATTTTGTCGCTCTGGCCAGAGTCATGCTTTCCCGGATAATCCTCTTCAACAAGAGAAAACCTCGAGAGGTTGCAACGATTCAGCTGACGGAATTCATGTCACGAACAAAGTCAGATCCGCCTGATGACTTGGACCCGTCTGTCACAGAGTTGGAAAAAACTATGTGTAGGTTCTTCACCAGAGTTGACGTACGTGGGGACTGTGGGAGAAAAGTCCCTGTTTTACTGAAGCCCTCATTTGTGTCGGCTCTGGAGCTTCTAGTGGATTCTCGTGAGGCATGTGGGATCACCAGTAAGAATCCCTTCGTCTTTGCCCGACCAAATGCTCTATCTAACTACAGGGGGACAGATTGTCTTCAAGGATTTATCAAAGAATGTGGAGCTCAAAACTCTGAAGGTCTGACATCAAAAAATGTCCGCAAGCATTTTGCAAAAATGCTACAACTGATGAACCTGGATGAAAATGAAGCCAACCTAATTTTTGGGCCTAATAACAAAATCCAGATCCTGCGGCAGTGCAATGACTCCACATTGGATGATATTGAAATGGATTCTGAAGGTAACAAGGCTTATAAAAAAGTAGGTCTACACTACATTAGACTAATTGGCACTGGTTCCTTTTTTCTTATATTTCTAGCTAGTGATGGGAGCATCACTAGCTAGAAATATAAGAAAAAAGTAAGAAAGTTGGATATTTTTAACTGGTTAAAAAAAACGTACGCCATGAGCTACTCAGTTGTGATTGTTTGCAGAAGGCAACATGCTGAGTGAAGTTATAAAGCTGGAGTCACTCAGTTAAGTTAAAAAAACAAGTGTGTGTAAATCCTGCAATTTATTTGAAGAAATGTGTGTATACGTGCGGGGATTGCTGAGAGAAAACATCTTTTTGTCTTTAATCCAGCTGACTCGTGGGATCATAGTGAAGGCAGACCAGCATCTCTTAATCAACAAAAACATGGAGGAAAAAGTGCCAACAAATCTATCAGAGGTAATCATGGTGAACTTTAACAGACTTTCTCACGTTTCTTTTTCATTTTTAGCCAAAAAAACAGGACAGAAAAAAGTAATAAATGGCAGCTAAGTCATTAAAAAAATAGCAGGTAATGAAACAGTAAAAGAAGCAAAAGATTTGTTAAGCTGTTGTGTTCAAAATGTTCCAAAAGAGGTGCGCTCATTGGCTTTTTTACTGTTGATAAACCTGAACCTACAAAACATTCTCACTGTCATCATCTGTTAGATGATTCTGTCCTCGATTATGCTCTCTGCATCCGTGAGTGCGCTTGGGTCCAAGTGACTTAATATTCATGATAAGTTAAAAGGATCTGTGCAGACGTCCGTGTGCATTGTGTTTTGTGACTGTGTTGACTCATCCACAGGGAATTTCCATTACAGTGCAACAGTAACTTGACACAGAAAAAAATCAAAAGTGAAAATGCACAAAACACAGTTTATGTTTGGAGGTTTTACATTTTCAGTGGAAAACATGTTCTCAGGTTCAGGCTCTAAATGTTAATTAGAATCATTTTACTACTATATTTAAATGTGCAAACATATTTCAACACATGGCTGAAATATGTTGGAGGTCACGAGAAAGATTTTAACGTGAAATGCATTCAGAAAAAGATTGTCTTACAGGGAATTGCAAACCTTTCTGAAACCCTACACCGTAACCTGATGTCCACCTCCCTTGAAATGTAACTGTAGTCTGGGTCAGTGCAACCCACAACTCTTCTGATTGGCCAGCTCAGTACTGTTGATTCTTTCTATGCATTTACTGCTTAATATATAAGCACATTTGTAAATAGGAAAATGTGGGCAAATTGCTCCAATATGAGATTTGACATCGACTGTATCAATAAATAAGGGAGAACTGAGTGATGGTGGAGGTGTAGCAGGAGAGGATGGGATTCAGAGAGAATCTGTGGAAGAAAACCTGCCACCAAGCAGGTTGATTTCAGTCTGTTACCCCAGTAATTGTCAGAGTTTAACTTGGTTCTGTTTCTACAACAGAAACTCCAGACATTTCCTCTTCTCAGGATTAATGTGAGTTCTCTTTTTTTTTTATTCTGTCAGGCTCCAAATGTACACCCAAACACGTATGGGGGGATGCTGAGGTTCATGCTGTAGAAAAACACATGATGCGCTTCATTCAGGAGCACAAAGTGCCCCAGAAGGACGACTGCGTCAAGTGTCTTGAAGCTGAGGCAAAAGCACTGAGGAACCGCACGTGGAAAGGTCTAAAGAACTACGTCCGAAACAGGATCACAACTCTGAAAAGACAAAATGACTCTTCGCAGGATTCACCGACCAGCTGCAAAAGGCCCAGAGAAGCAGAACCACAGCAAAGTACTGCACATTACCTACAGCTATAGATGTGATATGTTGCTGAAGGCCAAACCTGTTTTTTATGTTTTTTGTAAATGTCTTCAGCAACCCTCTTTCCTTATTCTTTGCTATTCTTCCTTTGCTTATTCTTTACCTCCTTCTCTCACTCTTCGATCTCTCTGTTCAGCTTTTTTTTTTGTATCTGTCTCTTTCACAAAGTCATGAGTGTCTTCCTCTATTACAATGGCCAACAAAAGCTAATAATTGCCCACCACTTTAACAATACCAGTCTGTTCTTTTTACGAGCACAGCAGTTTTCATCGTGGTGTTGTTTCAAATAATCCAGCTGATTTTTTGAGTACTCACAGTTTTATTCTGTACCCTTAAATGCTGTTTTAGGGTGCAGATTAGAATCATAGTTGTAGTAAATGTTGTATTTGCATGTCTGTGTATATGTGCTGGGATTTCTAAGGTGAACATAGACTTACTTACTTACTTATTTATTTATAGCGAGACAGCCTTCGAGTGGACGACAAGCTGACTCACAGGATCACGATGAAGGCTCTACTACAGACAATGGAGAGGCACCTTTTAATCATCAAAAAGCACATGGAGAAGCAAGAAGCTCCAGCAAGACTACACGTCCCAAATCTGTCAAATCAGGTGGACAAGCTAATAATGGTAGTCTTTAAGACTGACACGGTATTTTTAGGTAATATCATGTCATGCTAGCTACTACCTGCTGCAGAGATGTTTTCCTTACCAGACTGTCAGACTTAACTTTACTTACAGTTCAGTACATTAGTAGAATTCAGTTAATATTTTATATCTCCATGGTTCTTACTCTGTCATTGCGTGGCTAGCATTTTAGCCCAGGTTTTAGGGATACCTGCTTTTTATCAGTGCAAATTAAATAATTAGATTTTATTTTTGGTTCTGGGCTTGCACACAGATCACAAGGAAGTTCTCACAAAAATATTCCTATACTCCAACTCTGCCCAAGATGAATTTTAATGTCAGGATCATTGATTTCTTTTCTTCAGGTTCCCTTCATAAAACTAAACACACGTGGGAGGAGGCAGAGGTCCACGCTGTAGAAAGACACATGATGAGTTTCATTCAAGGCCACAAGGTGCCTCAGAAAGATGACTGCATAAAGTGTCTTGATGCTGAGCCAAGAGCGCTGAGAAACCGCACGTGGAAAGGTGTAAAGGACTACGTCAGAAACAGGATCACAACCCTGCAAAGACAAAGTGACTGTTTCCAAGATTCACCAAAAAGCAGGAAAAGGCCCAGAAAATCAGCGGGACAGCAGAGTACTCCACATTACCAACAGCTGTAGATTTGATATGATGTTAATACTCAAACCTGCAACATTTCACATCCTTCAGCTGACTTATTGTTCTTTAATCTTTCTGTCCATTTGTATATCAGATGTGAGAATATCTTTCCATTATAGTTCTCAGTTTTTGTTTTCATGTTTTTTGTTTTATTTCATCAAGTTTGTTTAACAGAGACTGTTCATGAATACTGAAAAATTACTGTTTTATTCACATTTAGATAAAAGGTTTTTTTTATGGTGTTCCTGGGTACTGTGACCAATTTTGAATACAGTATCTGGTTACATTGGTTGGTATACTGGCACATGATGCTTTGTTAAAATAAATGTTCAACAGTAAGTCTCAAAAATAATAATATTGTAGCTTTTCTTTTTTTTTTGGTCAGGGGGGCAAAATCTTGTATCTTGATGACACATTATTGTACACCGAGAGTACAGGAGTGGTAGGAAAATTAGTCATTCAGAATGTTTGAATTTGATCAAATATAAATATAAAATGTTCATCAAAACAGTATCTTAATTTCTCAAAAAGAAAGTACTTGGTGACAGAACTGCACTGTTCATTCTTAACAGTAACAGAGAGATGCATGGTACACCCTTAGTAGGTCGCCAGTCTGACACTCAGCACTCTGATATTAATATTATATTGCAACATTTAAAAAAGTAATGAAGCATTTAATAAGCACGTGTTTAGTATTGTAGCTTCTTGTTGGCTGACCTTATTTCATTTACCATATATGTATTTAGTTAGTTTTCAGGTTTTCTGGGCATCTTCAGCTGGAAAGAATTAGCAGCTACTTTTAAATTATCTAAATAAATGTGCAATAATCCCAATTTCAGCACAGATGATATAGTATAGAAAACATTTTCATCTAGTCCCATTGTATAACTCCAAATTAGTAACCGAATTAAATATGTACGTTTTGGAGGCTTTTACTGTGAAAGGACATACGGAAACGTTAGACTTTCCAGCGTGATGACGCTTCCATTGCAGTGAGGCTCAGGTGTATAACGGGAACCGGGGATGCTGGAGCTACTAACAAACGCTTACAAAACTACTATTATCGCATTCGTGCATTTTTCT